ATATTTGAGAATTCGTCTTGTCAAAATGTATCAGTTACTTGAGAAAGTTCTAACAAACCGAACAAATAATGAACAAGTAATAAACTTAGTAGAAATTAGACAAAAGATATTTTCTATACTTAATATTTTCTATATTTAATATTTTCCTATTTATTTTTAGTTTATTTAGAAGATTATTATATAATTTAATGCCTGAACGAAATATTGCTTTCCCTCCAAAATTTGAGAGCGATATAATTTAACTAGTAGTTTTGTCTTGCATTATATTAATGGTATTCATTTAATTGAAATTCGAATGTTTGTGGTTTTTTTTCTAACAGAAACTTCTATCTTTGCATATATATTTCCAAAGGTTTGGTAACAGTTTAAAATAATTTGTCTGGTACATTTCGGGTTGAATAAGAACACTCATATGAACTATTTATACAATAAGTTTTCAAAATGTTTTCATTCTCCATACTTCCGCAACATAGGCAAGATGTTCAACATTTCAGGATAGGGAATACAACTAGGATTAGCATCTAACTTTAAACTGAAATATCCCCTGAAGACTTCTATTTCTGAAAGATGATTTCACATTACTGCATGGAAACACAATACTGACTTACACTGTATAGTACTAGGGGCTTAAGTTTGTTAACCAACCTTTAACTACTGCTTGATCAACTAGAGATGAAACGGATAGCAGTTTAGCAAAACCTGGATATTTGGCGGCCGAATTTCCGGGTTTTGCGGTGGTCTTCTTTGGTTACAATCTCCAAAAGTTTCAACTGCAACTGCAGTCCAAGTACTCTTCTTAACGTATCAGTTATTATGTTGAAACGTTGCAGTTGAAATGTTTGGACGTTCTAACCAATGACCACGCAAAACCCGAAATACCTAAAAATATTTTTTTAAATCCAGTATTCGGCCGGAAATCCGTTTCATCTCTATAACTCACATTCCTTAAAGTATAAAAAACTAATCTTGTCGTCCACTCGATAAAAACTAAACAGTAACAAACAACGTTAGTACAATGCTCAGTCTTCTCCAGAGGAGTCGAGTGAAATGACCTCATCTTTGGCTTTTTTTTTCTCCAAACGACAGAGTATCTTCTCCAACTCCAACTTTTCTCGTGGAGGAAATTCTTCACCGTCCAATTCAACTGATTCACGAATGTCGAAACCGCTTTCTTCAACTACAGTAGACTCGTTTGTGCTGTGCTCGGATTTACTCGAATCTTTAGATTTATTCTTGATCAGACTCAGTTTTATGGCACTTTGGTTCGATTTGGCCAGTATCCTTTGCTTGAAATAAAAAAGTTTATTT